TCAAGACCCCTTTAACATTTTAGAAAATTGTTAACCCCAAAGCTTTTGTTTATTTGGTTATATTTATTGGCATTTATCAAATTAGAAATTAAAATTAAGAGACTTTTAATACACAGAAATATGCAGACATATTTTTATTAGCCTTCTGAGCAATGACATTATTTCACGTCATGCAGAATCTAAACTTACTGCTGTATACTTGTAAAAGGTTTAATTACTAAAATTTAACTTAAAATCAGATATTTCTTCCAGAATTAAATGTCACCCTACTTTGTACTTCCTTAAGATTTCCAAGGCTATTCTTGTCCTATTTTACTTGTGTACACGTTATTGAAACATCTTGTTAATTTCCACAGAGAAAAATATCCTACTGGATTTAAAATTTAGTATGTTCAATCTGTAAATAAATAGATTCCTGAACAATACTGAATCTTCCAAGCCATGAAGATGCTTTATTTATTTATTTTGGTTTTCTTTAGTTTTTCCTATTTATGTGCTTTCAATGTAAAACCCTTTTACATATTCCATTAGATTTATCCTAGTTTTTTAGTGCAAATAATTTTTAAGTGGCAAATTATTAGTATAATCTCTATTTCTTTATCTATAATTGCTAAAAAGAATCTGATTTTTATAAACTGATCTCGTTTCCAGGAACTTCGCTAAATTCATTCATTAATTCTAATAGTCTGTATGACTCTTTTATACCTTGTAGGTATATAGTCATGCTGTTTTCAGGTAATAATATTTTTTTCTTCTCTTTTAATTCTTTTCAATTGTATTACTTTTTAAATTGCTCTTGCTATTTTCATCAAGTTTGTTTGCTGTTCTTTTTCTAGCATTAATTTTCATCTTAAAAAATACGTTCACTAATACTATAGAATTCTTTCTAAGCACATTTAAATAATGTCAAATATGTAATGCAGTTTCTTTTCCTTAGCATCCAGTGCTGTTGCAGTCATCTTCCTTTGAGTCGAGTCTGCTCATATATTTAGCAGCAGCAAATTTAAGCAGAATTTCCTTTTCCTTCCAATTTTTGACAAGCTGTTTTTGGGGGAGGGGTATTAGGTTTATTTTATTTATTTGCCTATTTTAATGGAAGTTCTGGAGATTGAAACCAGGACCTCGTGCATGCTAAGCAGACACTCTGCCACCGACCTACACCCTCCCCCATGACAATCTATTTTTTAATATAAAATAAGGAATATTTATACTTGCTTCAATGCAAATATGTTTGCATCAGTTTTACCATCTTACCAAAGTGCTATTTGCTTGTCTTGTGTTTCTTTTTAGGCTTCCTTCTTTAGAATCTGCTGGTTTTAGTTTCCCTTTGCCAGGACTGTCTATTCCCCCTAACAAAAATCTAATACAAATTACTGTATCTATCCTCTTCCCCAAGAAATAATATTCCTAAAATTTTAACTTACCATGCTCCCCAACTTCACATTTTTGCTGTCCAATATTTTTCTTCCTTGTTATTTTAAGCCCTGTAATATGTAATTATTTTTATAATCATTATTTTAGATGGTTTAGGCAAGCATACATACATTTTTTTATTATCCTTTCCTCTTACTGCCTCTTTCAAATCCTCCTGAAACACATTCCTCAAAAGGCCCTACAATGGGTCTGTCAGTAGTAAAAACTCTCCATTCTTACAATCTTAGCCTATTGGGCTTAAAATTATAAACTCTGTCACCTAGAAGTTGTTACTTTTGTCTTAAATTGTTGCTGTTGGTAAATCAAAATAATTCATTTTGTTGAAGATAAACTATTCTCAATGTGTTTTGTGATTTACAGGTTCACCATGGTATTACTAGATGTTAATTTATTTTTCTGTAGCCTATGTGGGATGAGTTGTACTTCCTGAACCTTAAGTTGTATGTTTTCCATGTTGTCCTTTAAGTTCTCCAATGTCTCAGCAAGTATCTTTTGCTTCCCCCATTCACTCTGTCCCCTCATTTTGGACTCTTTATATGATACATTTACAATGTCTTATTCTAGTTTCCTTGAATCTTGACACCTCTTTCATTTATTTGTCTTTCTATACTGCATTATAGATAATCTTTTAGTTCTTGCCACTAGATCAGTAATTGTTCAGCTGTGAACAATCAGATGTTTAAAACTTTGGTTGAGTCTTTAATTTAAATGTGTATTTGTATTCCTAGAAGTCGTATTTTTGTACCCATCTTTTTATTCACGTATAAATATGCTCTTCTCTTGATGTTACGTTCCATATAATTCCATATTTTATTACTTATGTTATCTTAAATATATTAATGATAAGGCTTAAATTATATTATTTGCTTTTGATTTCCTTTTTTCTGAATTTAGCTGACAGTGGCTTGATGCCTCATGTGTTTTGTTCATTTGTATTTTGAACTTATCGTGAACTAGATCAGAGTTAATCATGTTTCAAACCTAGAAGGATTTGCTTTAATCCCTGCCAAGTTTAGACCCCACAGTTTTTTCATTGTGGAATCATTTTAAATGCTCAGAGTGAGTTTGCCAACACCATGAAGGCAACACACACTAAGCCTCTGTGATGACTGGCTTGTGGTTTTAAATCTTCAGGTAAAGTTTCCCCATATAAAGCCTAGGTTGGGATCAATTTTAGATATTGGGCAGATATTTTCACTAATTGAGCCTGTGACTGTTTGTGGTCCTGCTCCTCTTTAGGTGTAACTCAAATTCATTGCCTTGTGAGGGTGCAGGCCTTAGTTTCTGAGCTTGGATGGCCAATAAAAGAAGGTTCTCAGTTACAGGCATCTGAAACATTAATGCAATTTTACAATTCTGGTTTTCAGCCTCTCTCCCAAACCCAACCTCCTTCGGGTTTTATTCTTTTGTGAGCTCATTTCTTCTCTGAAAAGATGCTGGTCATATTTTACCCAGGATCTCTAAAGCATTTCACAGCAGGTGAGTTTCCAGAATACGTAGGTCACCATCTTGCTGTGTCCAATAGAGCAGCATTGTCAATATCACTGTAGTCTTCGTGCATTTATGTACAGCATACATGTACATAGAAAAAAATGGTCAATGCTTATGACAAACCATTGTGCAGCAAACATATTAATAAAAATTCCAATTAAATGATTCATAACCAACCCTCTTTTAAGACCTGAGTTCTAGTTCCTGGTGCTACACCAGATTAACTTGCAGCTCCAGTTCTGTTGAAGTTTATTTCAGGAAAAACAACAACAAGCAAATAAACATATTTTATTTTGGCAGGGCCAAGAATAATTATCCTTGAGAATGTCTCCAGGGATTTCACCTTCTATTCTAAAATGTTCCTCAAAGTATTCACTCAACAAAAAGCTGTATGTATGTGTGTGGATATAGATGTATACACACAAATATATATGTATGTATACCTATATAAACACATATGGATGTATATGTATATAGTTGACTCTTGTACGCAACTTTGAACTGCTTAACTCCACGTATGTGCAGATTTTTTCCAATAAATATACATTTGACCCTCTGGATCTGTGGGTGTTGCATCCACAGAGTCAACCAACCACAGATCAAATTTCAATTTGGAGTTGGTTAAACTCTAGGATGCCATACCCACAGATATGGAGGGCCTAAATGTAAAATGTCATTTTATATAAGGGACTTGAGCATCCTTGTATTTTGGTATCTGTATAGGGTCCTAGAAACAATCCCCCTGTGTATACTGAGGGACAACTCTATATACACACACACAATATTAGGAAATTGTCTACAGTGTTGTGGATTTTTTTTTACTTTCTGCTCAATTTTACAGAAAATTAATAATTTTGTTACTTAAATTGTGTGAAGACGTTAAAAAATGGTTGTACTGCAATTGTCAAAACAATTACAAATGTTATCTCCATGATTTCTTTTTAACTATAATTTTTATTTTGAGATAATTATAGATTCATATGCAGTTGAAAAACACATTAGATCCTGCGTACTCTTTACCCAGTTTCCCCCATAGAAACACTGTAAAGTATCTCTACCCGGGTGACATTGATAGTGAAGGTATGAAACAGCTCCATCATCACAAGGATCCCATGTGTTGCTCTCTCCTTTTTTTGATCTTATTTCCAAATATAATAGTCAGTCTTTCACCATCAGTATGATGTTATCTGTAGGAGTTTGTTTATTTATTGTGTAGATGTTCTTTCTAAAAATGAAGACCTTTGCCTCTGTTCTTACTTTGCTGAAAATGTTTGTCTTGTGTAAGTTTTAAATTTTTTAATATGCTTTTTATGCATCCACTGATACAACCACATGATTTTTTAATTTAGCCTGTTGATGTAATGGATTACATTTACTGATTTTTGAATATTGAAGTAGCCTTACCTACCTGAAATAAATCTGACTTGGTCATGTGTATAATTGACAGTGGTGTATAATTATGCATGCTGCATAATTTGTGTGTGTGTATATTTATATATATATTCTGTCTAGTATTTTGTTGTGGTTCTCTGCATGCACGTTCGTAAGAAATATTGGCACCGATCCACACTGCTCCCTTGTAGAAAAGTGAGATAGAAGTTCAGTTCCTCCCTTCATCTTCACTGAGCCTTCCTAGTGAAAACAGGGAACTTCCACGCATCTCTCATTGCCTCCAACTAGTTCGTCTAGATCAGCTCCCCACTGGGACCCTGCAATCAGAGAGGAGAGGCCCAGAGGGTGCTGGTATAAGTTCAGATCCTGCAGGGCCCCTCTGATACCAGAGAAGGGGAGAAGAGGAAGCCCAGTGCCAACCAGCCTTGCCCACACTGTTTCTTTCTGCCTCGTCATTCCTTGCAGGGGTGGAGGCTGAGAACTGAGACTATATGTCATGATGGACAAAGGAAGAAAAGTGCAGACTAGCTCTGTCCACATTACATCATTGGGTCACACTGCTGCCAGTGAGGGAGGATGCTGAGTTGCCTACTGGGCCTTACGGACACAAAGGGCTGGGGGCAAGTACAGTGCTTACTGGTCTCTACTTGCATTTTCTTTTTCCTGTCTCTTTAAAATTCCAGTTGGTACAGGGGAGGGTGGATGTTCAACTCACTGCTAGATACCACTGACAGCCTTAAGTTGGGGAACTGGACCTGCTTCCAGAGACACCAGGCAGCAGGGGAATTAGAGCATCACCAGGGCTTCCACAGGGCAGGTGAGTGGGACAGAAGGTCAACCTCTAGGTCCACTGAGGTTCTGTTGAAACTCTGGGTGGTTGTTTCTTTGGTGTTTGGCTGAGTAGGGTGAATATGGTTTTCTCTTTCCAGGCCACCCTTTCCTCGGGACTTTGACTTAGAGACTGATTTTTCATGGAGTTTTTCTTAACTTTGCCTGTCAGCAGGTCTGGTTGGAGGCGTCTTCAGCACCTTGCCCTGGGTATATGAGAGGCAGTAAGGAAACTCAAGGGACTAACCCTGTGTCTAACTAACCTTCTGTCTCGAAGATTCTCTGGAGTCCTCCTTCTTTTCACCTTCCAGAGGCCTTGTTGAGTTATGTTGTGTCATGTCCAGGTATCTACATTAAATGCATCTTAAACTCAACCTAAATATTTTTGAAGCTAATCTTGTTCTAGGTTTATGTTACTCATCTCAGTAATTTTTAAATTATATTGCACATTTTGGGTTTTTTTAGTTGTGTTTTATTTTCATAAGAACACCTAACAAGAGATCTCCCCAGCATTTCTGCTGGAATCTTAATTGCCATCGTGGTTCATCACTTTTTCTCCCACAAAATATAGAATCAACAATTAGCCCTTTTCTACAACCACTAGTCATCAACATATCTCACTTGGATATCACAATGTTTTCCTGGTTGGGGTCTCCATCAACATTCTAAATCGCCTCCCTTCAAATCTGTTTTCATCATAACTAGTAAGATCATGCTACTCTCCTGCTTAAAAATCCCACAATGCCATCCACTTGTTTCCAGGACACAGCAGAACATACTCTATTTGATATGAGACCTCGAAAGAAAAGGCCTTTACGTACCTACCTATTGGGTCCTCTCTGAGATTCTGGCTTTCTCGTGATTCCTAAGATGTGACAAGGTCCTTTCTGCTCAACATTTTCCCAGACTCTCTTTCTTTTGTCTGAATTGTTTTTTGTTTTTGTTTTTGTTTTTGTTTTATTGCCTGGAAAACTTCTGCTTTCATTTTTATTCCTCTAAATGGCACTATATCTAAGTAATCTTCTTTGTTACACTCTGTTTAGTCAGTCATTCCTTTCACCACACAATATACATAAATTGCATCTTGTAATTTGGGTTCATGTTGCATTTGTTCTAAATAGTCAATTTGTATTTATTTGTTCAATGTTTGCCTATCCTGCAAGACCATAAAGCTCCATGAAGAAAGGAGTGGATTTTGTGTGGCTCTCTGCTGAAATCCCAGGTCTCAGCTCAATGACTCTCTTTTTTTTTTTTAATGAATAAAGACATTCGTAATTGGATTTGGGCTTATAAATTTATATTATTAAGTATATGTTGAAAAAATGATTCTTAGAGATTTATATATCAAATATTTTAGTATAAACTAGGAGACTGAAAATAGACTATTTTGTGAGCAAGTTAATCCTTTGAAAGACTGGCCTTCACTGTAATTGTTTAACAAACTGATTTCAGCTATTCATTGTAACTTTTACTGTATTTATAAAGTGGCTATTTCAATAGGCTCACACAAAGGAATATTAATATTTAGCAATTTTCATTCTTTGGGGCTAAACTTGAATTGGATCCTTATTTGTTAAGATGAGCATTTTTTGGATGTTGTAGGGGGTTTTTTGGCAGGAGGCCTACTCACTAGTATTTTTGTCATGGATTTTATTCTTTTTCAAAGACCAAAAACTTGAGGGAGACAATTGTAAAACTCAAGTGAAAGAAATTATGTCTAATTCTAAAGTACTAGTGTACAATATTTCTATGATTTTATTACTTACAATAAAAAAGATTTGGAATGTGTCCAGTGGATAAAAGGTTTAGCTACAGTAATCATACTAGGAGGGAAAAAATGCTCAAACCAGTTACATTTTATGGGACTTTCTCAGGAATGGCATGAGAATTTTGTCAATAAAATGAGCTTCCTTTTTTCTGTTTCTCACTAGCAGTTGCCAAATTTTAGGTTACAATATGTTGGGTATACTATGTCTATATAATTTCATATTACTGGAAATATGTTTTATCGTATTATTAACTATTTTATTTTTAACTATGATGACTTGTTAATTTGGGGTATTGCTTTTTCAAAATAAAAACAGAAATTTTCAATATAAGAAATTGGAAAATATTTACGTGTTTTCTGATAATATATTTATTCCAACATTTTCATAAGACATGTTCAAAGTATAAAGTAAGTACTTACTCATCACAATGAAAATAAAAAAAATAAACCAAAAGAGCAACAGTAACTGTGCATCTTAGCCAAGGAATAATGGAATGGCAAATATACACAGAGACACATATGCACACTCAAAAAATAAGATAATTTTAAAACATAAAATAGCTTTGATATTACATACATTTCAGACCAATGGGCAATATGCATAATAACGCAGAGAAGAATTTTATTGGTGTAAGCTATACGATTTAAAAAGCAGGCAAACTTTTATTAAACAGTGCCAACTAAGGAAACAGAAGGGATTATAGCCTTTAAGATATGACATCAAGAAACTAAAATCTTTCATAATTTGCATTCTATTTATTTAAAAGACTTCAAGGAATAAGTTGTTCCTTTCTTGGTGCCCAGGTCCTAGCAGGGTAATAAACCCAGTTTTTGCCACTGCCCATTGTAAAACCACAGAATACAAGTCTCCCAGTTAGAAGGGATATATGTTCAGCAATTTTGAGTTAAATTTATATGACATTTTTAAGAGAAAGTTAAGGAGGATCTGATTCAGTTACTCACACAAAAATGTAATTGATATAGGTGAAACTTCTTCCCCTTGTGTAAATAAGTAGTTGAGTACTTTGCAAATGTTTATCTAAATAATTTTGCACTGTTATAAAGTTCACTATATTTATTTCCATATATTAGCACAATGTACCTTTCAATCATTTAACCAACCCAAGATTAGTTGAAAAGTTTTAAATGTAGAGTTTAGAAAGTATTTTAGAAAATTGCATTCTTCAGGCTATTTCTTTTCATAAAATTGAATCATAAGGACTGCTGTGTATTTCAAGCACATGTTGAAAATACCATTTAAGCCTTTATAAACCTGTGAAAATAAAATACAGTGAATTTGGGCAATGATAAGTCATACAAATATACCCATTTCTAAGTGATAACAATCATAATAGTGCCAATATTTCTTATAGTCTATTGAAATAGTACTATATATTCATTTATAATTATTAGATCATTATTATATGAGTTGCTAAAAAATCTTAGGAGGAACGCAAAGAAGTATTTAGATGTGGATATTAGCACTGAGGGTTCTTAAACTATATCAGAAGATGGCACTAAGGGGCAAACTCAGGCACTGAAATACATTTCTTGAGCAAATAAAAGGTTATTTCAGCATCTCTCGTTTTCATTTCTCAGCAGGTGCATCCCGCCAATTTCTTGGCCAAACCAGGGAGTTCATGGTCCTATTAAACTTTGAGTTATAGCCCTCAAGGTTTCACTATGGTTAGCCACAACATCCTCTAGGCTTCTGATTTCCTTGGAGGAAAATAAATAGCATACACCAGTAGCTACAAAGAGAAAGAAAAAATAAAACTCCCCAATCTGATCACTCATATTGGCTTAAAAAACTCCCACAGCAAGTGAGCTTTAGAACCTTTTGTTAAACTAGTAGAAATCATCTCTGCCTTATTATCTGCTTCACAGTATCTGCCAAAATTTAGAAACAATAATTTTACCTAATAATACCTTCTCAACACAATCTCAGAAGTAAGGTATAACATAAAAATTTGGTATACTCTCATGCAGAGACATACCTTGGAGATACTTCAGGTTTGGTTCCAGACCACTGCAATAAAGACAGTGTAGCAATAAAGTGAGTCACATGAATTTTTTGGTTTCTCGATACATATAAAAGTTATGTTTACATTCTACAGTAGTCTATTAAGTGTGCATTAAGTCTAAAAAGAGCATGTACTTACCTTAATTGAAAAATATTGCTAAAAAATGCTAGCCATCATCTGAACCTTCAGTGAGTTGTAATCTTTTTGCTGGTGGAGAGTCTTGCTTCTGTGTTGATAGCAGCTAACTAACAAGGGTGGTGATTCCTAAGAGCTGAGGTTGGCTATGGCAATTTCTTAAAATAAGATAATAATGAAGTTTACCACATCGATTGACTTTTCCTTTCATGGATGATTTTCCTATTGCATGCATTGCTGTTCGATAGCATTTTGCCCACAGTAAAACTTCTTTCAAAATTGGCATCAATCCTCTCAATCCCTGCCACTGCTTTATCAGCTAAGTTTATGTGCATCCTAAATCCTTTGTTGTCATTTCAACAATCTTCATGGCATCTTCACCAGAAGTAGATTCCATCTAAAGAAAACACTTTATTTGCTTATCTATAAAAAGAAACTTCTCATCTGCTGAAGTCTGAATATAAGATTGCAGCCATTCAGTCCCATCTTCAGGCTCCACCTCTAATTCTAGTTATCTTGCTATTTCCACTGCAACTGCAGTTACTTCCTCCACCGAAGTCTCGAACCCATCAAAATCATCCATGAGAGTTGGAATCAACTTCTTCCAAATTCCTGTTAATGTTGATATTATGACCTCTTTCCATGCATCACAAATGTACTTAATGGCAGCTAGAATGCTTAATTCTTTCCAGAAGGTTTCTAATTTCCTTTGCACAGATCCATTAGAGGAATCACTGTCTGTGGCAGCAATGGTCTTTCTTAAACAGTAAGACTTGAAAGTCAAAATGACTCCTAGATCCATGGTCTTCAGAACGGATGTTGTGTTAGCAGCCATGGAAGTATTAATCTCAGTGTGTAACCCATCAGAGCTCTTGGGTGACCAGGTGCACTATCAGTGAACGGTAATATTTTGAAAGGAATCTTTGTTTCTGAGCAGTAGGTCTCAACAGTGGGCTTAAAATATTTGTTAAACTGTGTTGCAAACAGATGTGTTGTCATCCCAAATTTTTTGTTCCATTGATAGAGCAAAGTCTGAGTAGAGTTAATATAATTCCAAAGGAC